AGTAGGTACCTAACTAAAAAAATGATCCTATCATTTAATAATGGCTTACTATTTTAATATACATAAATGTTTTAATGTATGACCATGCCGTTTAATAATATTGATTTGACCATTTTCTTCTTAAAAATTAATTAAATTTAAGCATGGATAACTGCGGTAAAAGAATATTTACTTCACACGATGACACCCCCACAATAGGCAATACTATACCTGGAAACGCACCAACATGTAGTTTAATTTCGCTGGGATCAGACGTTGATAATAATGTTAAATTAAACAATTCGCAGCTCTTGTCAACAGATGGTTGGGAGAGTTATCAAAAAGATCTTATACAGTTATGTTTTGAATTTTGGGAAGTAAACGAAACACAAGTCAAAGTAAAAAGTAGTGTACAGTCTGATTCAGTAAGTGAGCTACAAACACCCTCGTCGTTATTTGCCGATAGTTACTACAGAAATGTCATTGAATTTGAATCAAAAGGCACTATTGATAACGTTATTATTTCAGACAAAGTTCAAATCAAAGGATGCGCTGAGATTAATGATAATTCTTTAATAAGTAAATACGAAGACGACCCAGATATTCAAAAATTTTCTAAAGCTATAAATAATAATATAGATGAGGAAACTATTGAAAATAGTTCAACAATTAATGATAACAGAGTAAATAAAAGAACTAAAAAAAAATTGAAAACATTTTCTTTCTATAAAAATACGAACAAACAAGTCAAACCATCTAAAAAAGTACAACCATTAACTTTTAATGGTTATACATCATGCACTTTAGAAGACTTGTGGAAATATAAAAAATGGTTGGACTCAGTTGATAAAGTTAAAAAATATAATCCAGATATAGATATTAAAGATGACTATATCAAAGAAAATAAATATTCTGATAAAGTAAGCTGTGATAAAATAAACAATTGCAATACATATTCACTAGATTTCGAAGCAAAAGAAATGGAACAAAAAGTTCGAAAACTTATTAAATCGTTAAACGAGAAGGATAAATTGTTCTCAAATATAGGAATAAGTGAGCAGTCGACTGGATTTGGATCGTCAAATAAATTTAAATATTTTTTTAAAAATGCTTTTCGTGGAACTCAGAACGAATTTGACACACAAATTTTGGATGATTACACAAAATTTATCAATCACAAATTACATACGTGGCAGAGTTTATTGAATTGTTTAGAAGATATCAGACAAAGGAAGTCTTCTAAAATTAAAATGTGTGATACTTTGGAAGATACTATTAAGTATAGGTTTTCTGAAATAAACGATCATGATTTTAAAGTGACAGATGACTACGACGACAATAATTCAAAATTTGTCGAAATAAACGACAATTTCAGTGAGATAGGAAAACTGAAAAAAAATAAGTTTTTCAAATTGCTCAACAAAACAAAAAGTACAATGGATATGCGTACATTCGTTAAACGGACTACAGAACGAAATAGCACAGATAATATCCAAATGAATAATTACCAATGTACTTCCAACGCAACTACCGATGGTAAAATACTTAAAATGGACACTGAGATTTTAAGCACGATCAAAAATCGGAAATCTTCGGGCCGGATTCGGAAAAGCTTATCAGATACTGATCTGCCATTCATGGCATCAGATTACAATAATAAATCAAAACAAATTGAAAATAGAACCACCAGAATTAACGGGAAAAAATTAATCACTGAAACGTCGATGACAGACGAAGAATACAATTATGGTTGGGACGGCGTTACTAGAGAATTTTGGGAGGAACGGCAAGAGTGCTTTCAGACGGCTGTGGCTCGTTTAGAGTACGTAGGAAGCACGTTTAATGATCAATGTCGATTGGATGGACTAAAAACCTTATGCAAAGTTGACGTATTGGCAGGCTTTGGGTATTCAGCTGAAGCGGTTGATCTTTTTGTGTCCACTCTGCCACTAAGTAAAAATCCTGATCTAATGATTCGAAAAGCCGAAGCAGCGTACGACTGGAGGTTTTTCTGTCATCTTTCTATGTGGCGTTATTCTTATAAAGATTGAAAAAAAATTAATATATAAATAATGATGTATTACCTATATATATACTAGTTGGTAACTTTCCTAATTTGTAGTTTATTACCTACTTAATCCATGTACATAGGTGTTATTGGTGTTAATGTATTACTAGAAATTACACTAATAATTAATAATTAACATTACATTATTTAAGCAATAATAATTTTTTTGTTGAACTATGTATTGTATTTTATAATAATCCTGTTTTATATGTATTAATATTTTAAATCTATACAGTATATACTTACATATAGGTGCATACTACATATGTGATAAACTGATAACGCATATTAAAATATATTACGATGTATTACATACTTTCATTATTTTTTAATCGATTGACAATTATTTATGATTTTATTTTTGGGTACGTTAGAACTTTTAAGTAGAGAGAAGAGAGATATATACAATCATAACTTTAGTAACTTATAGCTTATACAGTTATACGTTTATAATATTATAGGCAATAGCCAATAGCTTTATTATATTGATTTATGTAGATCATATATATTTGTGAAAGATAATTAAAAAAAAATTACATATTTAATCTGTAGACTGTAAACCATTATTGTTATTTATTTTAAGGTAAAAATATTATATGAAACATTGAATATTATTAGAAACGTATTTATTTATTTTAAAAGTTTTAGTCTAGATTCGTGTAGATTGGTATCAAAATAAAATACTTGTAAAATATGTATAGTGATGTCTATTGTTTATGCGTTACACTTATTGTGGTGTCCCTACACCTACCTAATGGCTAATACTCAGGGGTCGAAGTGACTCAAAAGAAGTGGAAGGCATACTTCCAGGTTCATAATTTATATAATACTCATATATGGCTTAAACGCCTTAAACAGTTGTACCCCATAAGGGTGGAAGAACCCTGAATTTTAGAACCCGGTAGATAATATTATATAGGGCTAGAGAATATATTATACATTTTTATATATTGACTTCATGTTATCAAAGACCTTAAAAATGCATACATGACGTATGCCCTAAATATTTACTATGTATGCTCTTTTAATATGCAAAAATCCTTCAATAGGCAAGCTCTTAAAAATATTTTATTTTCTCATTAAAAACAAATACAAATATTAAAATTAACATGTATAGTTCATTTTTTTTTCTTAATCTTTCTACTTTTGTATGCTTGACTTTAAAAGTTGAAACAAAATAAACATTTCAATTATAAATGCATATTATACCGACTGTGTTTATGATTTAATAATTACTTATATAATATATTATGTATATAATATACGTATAGCAACAATAACACAGTAACATTTTAAAAATAAATGTAAATGTAAAATTAATTACAATACATTATATAGTGTGTAGTTAATCTAAAATTGTATGTAACCTAATCTTCGTAACTTCATTATTATTTATTTCCGTTGATGCCCAACTTGAACTTTCTATTATAATTTATAACCTTATGTAATATGTCTTATAGTCTGACCGACATTTCTACAATCACATTCTGGGCTGTTCTTTAGTTTACACTTGTAAATATATTATCTATAAAGCTGCTGCTCAAATAAACAATACATTGTGTGACTAAAATGTTTTGAATATTTTCAAATGTAAATGAGTGACGGAAGAGGACATCGCACCCGCATGTGTTGTTTCCGCCTTACACGCGTACGACATAGCAAATTTTCGTTCACTAGCTTCAATAGTATGATGTTAGTTTTGATATTATAGAGTAAATTAACTATTATCAAACTTTTTGGTAAGAATATTGTCTGTGTTCCCTCGTTGGTTTTTTACGATATTTTAGTTTTTAAGTGAATTTTGAGAATGTGTATATAGTATTAATATTTGAAAATGTTTAAAATTCACTTAAAAATTTTAAATCGTAAAAAACCAACGAGAGGAAAACAGGAATTGTTTTAACTAAAGGCTAAAAGTTTAATAATAGGTCAATTTACTTTAATATAAACACTAACAGCATTACCATCGATATATTTTGTATTAAACTATTAAATAATATTTAATCATTTACTCGATTTTTTTCCAATTTTTTGAAAATTCATATATTGTATAGGTAATATGTGAAAAATGCACTTCAAATACATATACATATAACACAATATGCACTTTTATGGAAAAAAAGAGCTAGATATGCTGCAAACTATGCAAAATAAAAAATTTTCCTTAAACTCCCTAGTACCTATTATAAAAAAAAAAATGTATGTATAACTTAGCTATGTTTATCGATAATATTTCTATATAGTTATAAGGGGGTTGTTTTATTTTCGATAAAATAAATAGAGGGATGGAAAATGTCAATTATAAAAGTGGAGGGATGCCATCTTATTTAGTTAAAAATAAAACTACGATCTACGATCGACTACAGCCCACGATAAGGAATCATCAAAATCAAAATAGAACAATTCCGGCTGTAAATGATACGGTAAACCATAGTTTTTACAGCAGCTGAGCTGTGATCGATAATTTTATTATTATTCGATATTCGATAAAATTTGTTTAAAATCTTTATTTTCATCTTAATTTGTGATCGGTATTCAGCACGGACTAAGATATTATTTTTTAGCCGATACCACGGTCTTCAAAGATGAAGGAGGTGACTGTTATCACGGACTAAGAAATACTGGACATGGTTGGGGGGTAGTAAAGGGTCCTCAAATGTTTCGACACCGCCACTCCCCCCATTCTAATAGGCCGCCGAAAGGTACAACTAGCGGTAAAAGTGCTCCTATTGTATATTTAGATGTTTATTATTTTGAACAAATTTTGGTCACAAAAATTCATGTATATTATGAATATTAAATTTTAATACCATACAATGAGTATATTGTTTCGATTTTTAATGTTTTCATAATTAATAATGTTATTAGTTATTTTGATTATTGTGTTTTTATAACACATGTATAGACGGCGCTTTTACCCGGGCCACTGATAAGGTAGTAGATACCAGTCCATTTTATCTTAGTCCGTGGCTGTTATGAATAGACCGTTGTTTATAGTGTTTGTACTTTTGTAGTTAATATGGTCTACTGATAAGAAGTAATTGTATTCAAATAATGTAAAGTTAATTTTTTACATATTTAACAGTTTTTAAATATTAGTAATAGATATTATTTTAGTTGTAGACTTTAGTTTCGTGTACCCATATCAATACAAAATAATGATTATTCATTCAATATTGTAAATCATTCACAAACGTTTAAACTTTAAAAATGGCGAATAATGATTTGACTAGAGTAAAGGTGAGATTACTTATGGTTTTTGGGTTAAATACTTCAAACATAATTTTTTGTCTAATTTTAGGGAACTTCTATTGTTAAACCAATTATATATGGAAACACTGCTAAATATTTTGGCCAAAAACGACATGAAGATGGTCATACTCACAAATGGTGTGTATATGTAAGGCCTTATGTAAATGAAGACATTGGCACCTGGGTCAAAAAAGTTCATTTTAAATTGCATGACAGCTATGAAAGTCCAACTCGAGTGGTGCAGAAACCTCCATTTGAGGTCTCCGAAACAGGCTGGGGCGAATTTGAATTAGTCATCAAGATATTTTTTCAAGATACAAGTGAAAGACCAGTAATAAAAACTAATGATATAAAAAATTGTATTTGATATAGTATTCACCATGACTTAACTTTATTACTTTAATACTTGAAGATTAATAATCAAAACTCATTAATTTTCATACCTATAATATTAAAATAATTGCTACTCAACAAAAATTATGTTTCTATTTAAAAGTTTTTAGTACATAATTAAGTTTATGAAAAACCCATATTTTATACAGTTTTTATTCTAATAATGAACATTCTTTATTTTAAAAAGTATAATTTTTAATTTAGAGTTTTTAATTGCATTCAAATTGAATTGTACAATTCAAATTTTTATGTTATTGGATTGTTTACCCTTAACCAATATAAATATATCTGATTTTTAAATTACCCTAGTCATATTTAATAACAGAAATGTGTGCTTGATTTAATGTATTTTTGAATTAAATGAAATAATATAATAATTTTAAAAGTTTATTTTACAAATTCGGTAAATTAAACTATTTAATAATTCAATTTTAGTTATGATGTTTAATATCATGTCATTTATTAACAGATTGTCAAAATTCTGATTTTCGTTTTATATAATGAGTATTACTATACCATCTTTTTAAAACATTCAAATGTTCAGTACCTAGTATACAAATAGTTCGACAATAATATAAATATCAATAAAAAAATTTTATTTTGGTTTATTATTTTATTTTCAAAAATAAAATTAATGTAGGGGTTTTTCTAGTAAACATCAAGGCGATCAAATAAATCCATTATTAAATGTAAAATATAAAACTTGTATGTAAAAATGAAATTTCCAATAAACTTAATACATTTCAAATTAGTTTTCTATTAAAATTCACCTATTACTTATATTTTTAAATTGTATATTGTTTTAAAAAATTAGTTTTTTTTGTTGAAATCAATTATTTTAAAACTATTTAATTACTTGGTTAATTTATAGGTTACACTTTATCATGTACTTAAGTTGTACAGCAATGGACCAGACTCTGAACTAAGTGAAAAACCAGTTTTGTCAGAATTTTATGAGGAAATTATTTTTCAAGATCCATCAACTTTCATGAAATTTGTACTAAATGATACATTGAGTAAAAATCCACCAATCGATGAAAAAAACCTACATTGTATGTACCTAATTTTGTTTTCATTTGTAACTTAATTTTTTATATACAACATTTTTTTGTAGATGAACACATAAAGAAGACTACAGTTGAAAAAATGATAAAATCTAGAAAGAGAGTACAAGAACACACAGTTATGTACAAAGAACGATTAAAAAAATTAAGAGAAACTATAAACAAGTTTAAAGATGAAATTTGTGCGTTACAATCACAATGCAGTTCATCAACATTGCGATAAATAAAAATAAATAGAACTATAGCTATAATTGACACCCTTTATCAAATACACAATTATTAGGTACTTATTTATTCTAGTTATTATATGTTAATCGGTGTTTATTTTTCTAGATTATTTTTTTGATTTAAACGGCTAACAGTATAAGCATAAAGTATTTCATAAATGATTGAAACTATGATTATAAAACCATTATTACTCCTTTTGGTTAGATTTTAAAATGTCTATAAATATTATATCATTTATAACTTATGGGACAAGTGTTTTTATAATTTGTATGACTTCTTAATGAAATAACAAATTTTACGTACTATAATCTTCTCTTAAAACGTCTCCCATATTTGAACTTAACTGGCTGAAGTAGCTTGTCAACTACACAAACTTACAAAAATATTTAGACCTCATGTTATCCTTATAAGTACAATAAATGAAAAATAAAAATAAACCATTAAAAATCTCATCTTACTTTTAATTTAAGACAATATAATATGTAATACCACCGGTTATAGTTGTTACTTTCATGTTTCTGAGCAATGTCCAGGTTGAGATATGATAATATAGACTAAAGAAATTATTGAGTACCACCATTGACTCGCTGTTTTTTTTATGTATGTCAACTTTTAAGTCATATCACATATTATATAATTATTGCACATAATGCTCATTGTAAATATTTGATTAATATATTGTAATAAGTATACACTATATTCTGTATAAAATAAAGTTAACAATAATAAATTATATATTTAAGTATTTATTAATAAAAAAATTTCAAATATTATGTATGTAAAATATAACTTTATGAATAGTATAATATTTTGATAGAATCATTTTTTTGGTGGTACTAATGTTATTCTATTATACTTTGCTAAACAATAGTTAAGACAATGGAAAAAATGTTTTGCATAACTTTAAATTCCATCTGAAAATAAAAAAGATGAATATTATTTTGAATAAAAAATTATATTGTACTTTTAAATTAATTATTTTTGTGATTTTCTTATGCAAAAAGTTACGAATACCTATGCTCAAAGATGATATACTAGAATCTTTTCCCTCAGTTGACCCATTGGTATACATTGTTGAAATAGTGAGACTTTGTTATAATTATTATTAATAGATTAACTTGATTATGACTCACGAGGATATTCTATTTAAATTAAGAAACAAGTGGTTTTTGTTAGTTTTAAGTAATTATCATTATTATTAATGTATATATTATATTATAATTATTAAATTAAAAACAATGATACTTAAAGTACTTTTGCCACTTTTGGAAAAATCTATAAAAATATAAGAATTCAGATTTAGGATAAACTATGATATACATCATAATTTGTAGAATATACATAATAAGAAGTAATTAATTACAATTTAGATTAAGATTTATTTGTAACAAAGTAATTTTAAAATTAAATTTTTTATTTTTTGCCCTTTTTTGCATGGGCTCTAAACTATAATTATGAAATTATAGTTTGTAAAAGTTTTAATAAAGTTACATACAACTACATAAACATTTCATACTAATATTATGAAGGACGACAAGAACAATGATATTTTTTAGAAATATACCAGAAATTCCTTCAATAAATAATAAATATTAATTATTATCTATATTCTATAACGCTGTGATGACACCACAGCATAGGGTAATTCTATTTCTATGCACCACAGATTTATGACCATAGAGTAATACTAGTAGTATTACTCTATATATATAACAAAACATTTCACGTTGATTGTCCTTATCAATACACTATAGTCCATTGTTAACCAAGGCTTATAGATAACATTTACCATACTCAGTCACAGTGATAATGTATTAATGTACCTTACTAGTTACTACTTTACTTTAACATTGTTAATTGTAATATAAATAATAAATGTTAAATGAATAATAATTAATGAGTTACTAAATAATAGTAACATCGGTTAAGCGTTCAAATTTTAGAATGTCTCATTCTTTTCGATTAAAAAAAATGTACTTATAACTTTGATTTGATACCTACCTCATTTATTATTGTAAAACTTCTTGCATTTCTCTTTAAACACACAATTTAAAATGTTTAAAAATACAATAATATTGACAGTTAAAATTGTTAATTGTCTTATGAAGAAATTTGATAGTTCACCAATGAGTCTATCTCTTTGTTTTCTCCAATAAATATATGACATCTGCAATGGCATTTCTTTCATGTATAAAATTATGGTATGTATTTGATACAAAAAAATTGTATGTATTTATATCAATCATATAAATGGTCTGTATTTAAGACCAAGTATTTATTTTATATTATCTAGCTAAAATGTACTAATAGATTTGCTTTTATTTAAAATTTTTTTTGTTAAAGATTATTGGTGAAAAATTAGATTTTGTTCTAATAACCTAGGTATTTTGTATATTGCAAAAAATTTATTCATGTAAAATATTTTTTACTTAATTAAACTTGTTTATTTATTTTAATTTTAATTTGATAATTAACTAAAAAATAATACTTAATGTGTGTATCAATACAACTTAATATATTTTTTTTAATGATCATAAGCAACTACAACTATGGCCATTAGAATTTTGTGGTGGGGGGAAGGGGTTGTAATTGGTTGAGGAACACGTGTTTGTGTAGCGAGGATTCATCACTAAAAACCCCAGTCGGTTATCCATTCAGGAACTAGCAACGCCAGCCAATGCTTGACCTCAAAACAAGTTTTTGACTGAGGCCAACCATCAAGCCACATCAGGCCTCACAATTAATTGATATTTGTCTAAAAAGCTACTTTCTTGTAATTACTAATTTATAAGTGATAAACATTTGAATAAAATGAGTTATTATGTGGTCTTTTTAGAGTGAACTATTATATCTACAAACCTAAATATTAATTTTATAAACTATATATTGTTTTTAGGTTTTCCATTTTGGTATCTATTATTACAATAATTGTTTTACAAAATGTATTACCAGTATTATCAAATTTTAATCAAAATGTATCTTCGTTAAGTACTTTTATTAATAATAGTCTTGGATATTGCTTAATATTAATACCTGGATATTGGCTTTACAAATTCTCAAAAAAACAAGATTTGGGAGGTACAGTATTAAAGTTGATTGTTTAAATTAACTCTTAATGCTCAAACTATTTAAAAAATTGTATTTACTTTTTTAATGCAAAACAGATAACCGTTTAACAAGTAAATTGCTAAAGACATTGTTTGGAGATAAGCATGATTTAGAACCAGAACAACCTTTATCGCCCAGTTACAATGGACCAGCTAATTTTAGAAAAGACTTAATAACCTTTGTATACTGTTTTGGAGGCCTGCAAGTATCTTATTTAATTTGGGGTGTAATTCAAGAAAAAATGATGTCAGAGGTAATTGAAGCATTATTAATAATAATTTATGGTAATCATTGATTAAAATTTCTTCTTCTATAATTATTTGTTTTTTTTATTAGTCCTATGGTATAAATGAAGCTTCAAAGTTCCGTGATTCTCAAATGTTAGTGTTTTTGAATAGAGGACTGTCTACAGTTTTGTCTGGTATATTTTTATTTATGAATGAGGGCATACGATCTAAGAAATCACCACCTTTATATAAATACAGCTATTGTACTGTGTCCAACATTATAAGTTCTTGGTGTCAATATGAGTCACTCAAATATGTCAGTTTTCCTACACAGGTATGCAGAACTTATCTTAAGGATGTTTACTTTATCATTTTATATTATAAATATTATCAAGGTATTAGCAAAAACTTGTAAAATTATCCCAGTTATGTTAATGGGAAAATTAATATCTGGTAAAAAGTACCAATACTACGAGTATGTCACAGCAATAGGAATTTGGATTGGTATGGCTATATTTCAATTTTTTACAGAAAACAAACATTCTGGTAAATACTGTAATCTTTTTTGATTTTTAATTGAGATTAGGTTATTCATATCAAAATTTTGATATTTATAATCCATGTTTTTTCCTTTAGACATCACAACTTGTGCAGCCGGAGTTATCTTGCTTGTAGGATATTTAGCAACAGACAGCTTCACATCAACGTGGCAAGGGAAAATTTTCACACAATACCAAGTTACTTCCATGCAAATGGTTTTTGCTAATTCATTACTATCATCACTTCTTACAACTATACCTCTGTATCAAGTGGGCTCATTCAAAAAAACATATGAATTCATTAAAGAGGTGTCTTATTGATATTTTATTTATTTTATTATTATATGCACAAAAAAGTAACACATTTTCTATTTTAGTATCCAGCATTTTTAACTGACTGTATAGTTCTGTCTGTAAGCTCTGCATGTGGGCAACTATTCATATATAAAACTATTTCTAAGTTTGGACCAATCGTGTTGACTATAATAATGACCATAAGACAAGTAAAAAGAACAATTATTTAATAATATTCAAGTATATTTTATCAAACCTAATTTTATAAAATATTATTCAAGTAATTTTTAATTTTTATACAATTTGTTTATAACTATACAAATTTAATTAAACTTAAAATTAAAAATAAACTAGCGGTTGTAAATTTTAATAAATTTATGCATACTCAATGTTTTTATAAATATTAATCACATATTTGTACTTGTAATAACTATGTTTTATATTTTATTTTGGTAATTTTACCAACTATTTGTATGTTATAAATGAACTAAATTATCAATATATATGATTTTTTTGTGTTATTTTTCAGGGTCTATCAATAGTAATTTCCTGCATAAGATACCATCACCCTATTGGTATAATGGCTGCTCTCGGAATTGTTTTTGTTTTCATTTCAGTATTTATACGTTGCTATTGTCATTTCCGTATAAAATCAAAAAAAGTTCCTAATCATACAACATTCAAAGTATAAATGAAGGTAATAAAACTGACTAGTTGATGATTTTTTAAAAAAATAACTTGTGTTTATGTACAAATAAAAAGTAACAAATAATTGTTTTTAAATTACAATATCATGTTGTTGAATCACTGCTTTTGAATGTCAGTAATGAGACAATGCCAAAGAATACTTGAGTTGCTTGAAGCATAAGTTGTATGCATCCTAGGATATTTTCCAGCCGGAAAGTTCTTTGTTGCCACAACAAAAAATACAGTACTCCTATGGCTGATGGCACAGTTAGAATGAGTGACAGGACGACACATATGGCCTTGTCGGCCGCATTGTCCCGGCGTGATAAAAACGTGCGGAACACTTCGATGAGACAAAGAAATACAAATACTGTCATATTAGTCCCGAGTTCATTTAGAGAAACTGACTTTTTTTGAGCATCATCTATTGATTTGGCACATATAAGTGAGAACTCAAACATAGAAAACATGCCAAAGTAATAGGAATTAAGGTACATTAACACTTCGAACATCAAAGGTGCTTCCATTTTGCATTACAAATTTATTTTAATATGAACAAAAACGCTTGCTGTGGCACGCAGTCTGCAGAGTTACTAACTTACTACGCTCAAATACTGTATTGCTATCTGGCTATTTTCGTCCACATGGACTGACCCTGGTAATCAATAAACTACACAATGTTGCCTGGGTTGTATCTCAAAATATTACAGTTTGAAACAAGGGAAATCATTTTTAACTTCATGTACATTATTCCGTTCCTTAACCCTAAATACAATACACGTTTTTGCTTTTACACAAATTTGTTTAAGATTCCCCGTATTTTAATAATTAATAGTTAAATGAAAGGTTTCTTATGTTCGTTATTTGATGGTTTATTGTTGAACATCGAATTTTGAGAACCCCTGAACTTTCGTTGCGTGGGTATATAATACAGGGCGTTTGATAATCCATTTACCAATTACGTGATTTTTAACTTTTAACTTTTTTTAAACAAAACAAAGCAAAATTATTTTTAAATCTAAAAATTGTAATCCTTTATTTTTTTTAATCGTTGTAGCCAGGTGTATTTTAATTTTGCTGCGTGTAAGCTTAAATCACGATTAAAGATATACTTTAATCGTGGCTTAAATTGATTTTAATAGAAACAAATAGGTACAATAATATTTATTTTATCAGTAGGTAATAGCCAATAGGTATCTATCATAATCTACTTATTATACATTTAGTACCTACTATGCAGTGAGGTAGCCAGGTTTATGAAGTAGTTTATGTTTCTCAAAAACAACCACTGCTGTATTCTATGTACTTATTTGAGCCTGTACATTTAGAATACCAAAGGTATAAGGTATTTAGACATGGGTATATTGAATATTGATCGTTCAGCGGTTCTACTCGTCTTAAGCCGGAATGCTGCCAGATTCACAGCTTCGCTGTGTGTGGTGTGTCTTGTCGTACGAGGGCGTGGTAACTATGGTTACAACTGGTAACCATATTGGTTTAAAAGTTAAGCTGTAGTCAATTCTTGCTATACTCTGTTGGTCTGTTACAACTTGGTTATTACAAGATACCAAAAAAGTAATGTCCAATCACAATTGGATTTGATCTATACGATACGACACCAGAGTACGAGACGTAGCTGTGAATGTGCCAGCCATCAGTCGCTTTTAGTGTCCAAAATATTAGTGTACAATATTTAGATTTTTTAGATTAGGACGAGGGAAGGAATATGCAATTCAGCAATAATTGTATTGCCATTGCGGAGATTTTATAATTATTATGACAGTTAATATTTTTTTTGACGTTTACTCACTAAAGAACCTAATGCACCAAAAGTTTTGTTTAGCATCTTTCGAGATCGTAAGTAGTGTGGAATCTAAAATTGTTGAAGAATATAGGTATTATAGGTAGAAGTACCTACCTATTTTTAAAAAATATGTTTTTTACTTTATTTACACAACCAACTTGTAGATGAAGCCGGTAAAAAAATACGATATTTACCAAACTCTATCCCTCAGAATCGTTTTTTATACATAATGGGTTTATTATTGCTTTCAAATTTTTATTTATTACACGCTGTTATGTACCTACACTATAGTACTGCATTTTGTGCTTAAGTATAGGTTAGTAGTATGGTAGTGTTTTGTTTTAAATTAAAACATTTAAAACCCATGATAATTTACATCTACTTGAGTATAGTTGAGTATAACAATCAACAATACCCTACTAGGAAAAAACTACAAATCATATGTTACATCTTTCGTAATCTGTAATAAATCTGATATTATACGTAGAAGGAATCATAGAGCATTAATCTATAATATTATTATAAAAACGTCAAATGTCAGAATGACTCAAGGCTCTAGCGGTACCTAATACCGTATTTATTATGCATTGGTTTAAATAGCATAACAATAGAGTGAACAATGAATATTTAAGCTAAAACTATCCATAGTGAACACTGAACCTGAACATATAGGTAATACAAACTATCTAGATGAAGTTGTGTAGAATATTAAAACTATCGTTTTTATTTAGAATAAAATATCCAAAATAATAATAGATTATTTAAAACAAATCTTATAGAATAGATAGGTATGGAGAACAAAAACAAACAAAAAATAGATATGATTAGCTTTCTAAGTTCTGACACTCTTCTGCCCATTCTTTTTCTTCGGAGAAATTCTTTTTCAAAATATTTTGAAAGTCCTTAAATTTGCATGGATCACCGCAAATAGGTATTGGGACTTCTTTTCCTTCTTCATTGTTCCAACGGTCGAAAAAAAAAATCTAAAATAGAGTTTAAATTATTGGTTTAAGTATAGCTACACATTCAGCTGCAGATAGGTATTATTTAGTTATTAATTATTGTTACTAAATGTAAGTATAGTCGTGTACGACATAGGTACATTATAATTTATAATAGGTATCATACTTTGATAGTGTGTTCATTTATTTCGTCGTGGTACAAATGGAAATGCAATGAACCACCAAAATCGGGCAATTCAATGGTACTGCCTAGAAAGTTCATTGCCATTTTTATACTAATATCGTGTCCCGAATAAAGATGCATTTTTCTTGTTGTATTATAATTATTTGAATTCGATTCTATGTTCATACCAATTTCATATAGCAGAGGTCCTTCAAAATATTAAACAAATTTACTAATTATTATTTCGAACCTAAAAATTAATTATGTCAATACCTACGTGTATAATTATATCTTAAATTTAATTCAAAAGATTCCAATTTTCAAGTTATACTTTTTTAAAAACCTTTACCACAGAAAACAACAGTTACATTTTTAAAAATGTATTATTCTCCTTTAATAATTATATACCATGATTAGGTACCTACCTCTTTAAAATTAATTTGTGGTGGGGAAGTTAGGTAGGGTATTAGTTATTACAAACAGAATTATCATCTATAAAAACGTATAATAATTCTATAAAATGAAATAAACATGTAACATAGGTACCTTCTATAATTACAGGAATTAAAATTAAAACTTAAAATAACAATAACAAATAATTAATTCTTAAAACGACCTGTTACAAATACTAGATTTAATACAAATATTGTAAATGTAATATTATGCTCATTGCTCACACATCATTATTACAATTAAACGTAGAAAATAGTTACAGTGTCGCAACCAAGGGGCGTCCCCCTTTTGGGTGTCTGGACACCTTCCCTCCTGAACATAGACTTTAGAAATAATTATGTGTTATACATATTAGTATGTTACCTTCAATATATATAGTACAGTATAGTATAATTATATAGTAGTTACTAGTTACTATACCTATTTAATATCTGTGTTATAACTTACAAAAATGATTATTATTTAACTATTTATTGTATATTGCGATAAAACGGGAATTAAAGAATGCGGAAAAAAAACCATAAGTAGATAGGCATCTATGTAATTACTAATTTAGACTGACTGTCTAGTGTCTGTACCTATGTTTTTTGATTATATCATCAGTTCAGTAACTGAAGTTCAGTTGTTCGAAGGTTGTCACCATGACGCCAACGATCAAATAAAATGAGTAATCGTGCTAATAAAAGTATAATCAAATTTTTCGTCAAAAAAGAACAAAAGTGGTAAATTGACACAATTTCGCGATCATTTATGAAAACAAATATCGAGAAATCTAGTTCGGATAACGAATATTCTTGTTTAAACCATCAACTAGATCGAGTTCACCGCGATAGTCAGATTATAATTTATTTCATATTCACCTATATTATGTTGGTCAAAGTCAAAAGCTTAAGAATACAATTATTGTTTCAAGTAATTTGGTTGAACAAATGGAAATGGCTAGTGTATCCACAAACAAATGATGGGGGGTTTTCAAGTATTGTTTTATATTTTATAAACTAGCAGGGGAGAGTGTCGGCCGTCGGGTCCAAGGCCGTGGGAAATATTTGTCTTAAATAGTTTATACAGATGCGGTCATAAAGAGTTCAGAAAAAGACAATTCGATTTTGTAACTTAAAATTTGTATTATATTATTTTAATTTGTATAATCATTTTTTTTAATGCCTAAACATTTGAAAACTAACAAAGTTATAAGTGATTTTTATGTAAATATATTGGGTAAACGTTTTTTAGTCAATCAGATGCCAGACGCCAGTAGTGTCATTACATACGGTAATACGAGTATATATTTGATTATTGAATAAGTTAATATAATAAATTTTAGATAATAAATAGTATAGTCATCTGAAATAGAACTCTCAACTACAACTGTATACGCTACTGGTGAACACCCCCTTTGAAAAAATCCTGATTGTGAAACTAAATAGTTATATCATATATGATAACTTAGTATACTAATAAATAACGGCCAGATTACCAAACGCAGAAAACGGGTTATAACCGCTAATATAAATCTTTATTGATGACTAAAGGGACGACCCGGACGTTATACGGTTACGAATTAAGACATTGACACGTATTTGTTACGATTAAACTTAAGACGTTCTTATATGTCGCCAGAGAAAAGGGATAACCAAAGAGGTCTCTGCAGACAAAAATAAAATATTTCTAAGCATTTTTAGTGTCGCAAAAGGCGACGAAAGACACATTAAAAAACACCATTTTAAAATAAATTTATTCATTGCTCCACTCAGGATTGAAAATTCAATATGTAGATAATCTTTTGGCTTTTCTAAAAATAATATTACCGTAATTTTAATTTATTTTAGTAAGTTGTAGCCTGTATAGGTATCTGGTAGAGACGAATATGTTATAATCAGGTATATTATACATGCAGTGGTTAAGATCACTTCAACTTTCGGTTTATAAATTGAATCTAAACTCTAAAAACAATTATAATCATTTTGAATAAACGATAAGAATTCTTCAACATTTCAATTGATACTCCTAATGTTAGCACACAATACTAAATTAGATATAGACACATTAAAGCGTTAAATATATTTAACTTACTCATGTGTAATAATGTTCTGTAATCATCGAGAGTATTTGTTTAAATTTTTTGATGGGTGTCACTGTGTTAGCTAGTAGGCAGTAAGTGGTTTACAGATGATGCTTTCGGGGCCAATTTTATAGGAAATTGCTTGCCTAAAATCGCAGTAGTTCTGTGGTCCTTTTACATATATTGGCGGAAGAAGCACTTTTTTTTTAATTTGAGTAATTTTTTGCGGACCTTAGAATCTCCGCATATAATATTAAACAAGCAGTAATAGAATATAGGTATTATATTATAATAAAGTATAGAATACATCAACTTTTCACAATGTATAAGCTAATCGTCGGCGCAAAACAACTAATGTACTAAAAGTGGTTGGCTTCTCCCTATGTATTAAATCATCGGACAGGTATACGATTAGAAATCGTGAAGATGAGCTGATTTTCTAGGGATTTGCAACAACAACCGAAAACAACACCACACTTGCAAAGTTGCAAGTCGCACGTCGCAAGTCTTGTTCGAATTCATTTAGGTTTTGGAATCCACATTCCATGGTAATATCTTGTTCATTTTCTGATAGGTAATAATGAATATCGATTTGGCAAGAAGAAAAGTTTTAATTTTAGGTCGGAGTAGTCTGTGTTGAGGGAGGAGTATGTTTTGATTGTTGCTATAGGGCATCGCCCGTTTCCGCCAAAAAACCGGTTCCCTGATTTAGGTATGGCCCTTTTCCGCCAAAAACGAATAAGGTACGATTCCCGTTTCCACCAAAAGACATTTCTGCAAAAGAAAGTTTGGAAACCAATGGTCTTAATTTTTAAGCAATATATATGTTGTGGTATAAATAAAATAAAATAGTAATGTAAAAGGGGTACAACTATATACCATGTGTTCACCAATTTAGGGAACACTGAATTTCTCGGCTGGATTATGTTGGAATAATGAATTTTTTTTTACAAGCTTGTGGTATATAAATACACATTTTCCGATAAATTTCAAATTTTTAAACCCTTCGGTACACACATGCGCAATGCAACTCACTTTTTTTTTAATAGCAACAGGTAGTTTTGATACCAAATTCGGATAGACTGAATTTTTTTAAGTCATTTTGACCACTTGACCATGGCTTTAAAACCAAAATTGACTGAATGAGAGCCATTCAAATTTCAATAAATAATACATTTTTACAATTCACTATAAAATGCATAAAACCATTTATAATTATTTATTATTGGTTAATTTTTGAATATCTTTACGTATTTTTTTTTTTATACGCGTTATAAATAAGATTAACATAATATGGATATAAAATTATTTAATCAAAATTGATTACAACAGTTATTTTATAAAATATGAAGTTATAAAAAAAAAATATGTAAAGATATTCAAAAAGTAACCAATAATAAATAATTATAAATTGTTTTATGCATTTTATAGTGAATTGTAAAAATGTATTATTTATTGAAATTTGAATGGCTCTCATTCAGTCAATTTTGGTTTTAGAGCCATGGTCAAGTGGTCAAAATGACTTTAAAAAAATCAGTCTATCCGAATTTGGTATCAAAACTACCTGTTGCTATTAAAAAAAAGTGAGTTGCATTGCGCATGTGTGTACCGAAGGGTTTAAAAATTTGAAATTTATCTGAAAATGTGTATTTATATACCACAAGCTTGTAAAAAAATTCGATTTATTCCAACATAATCCAGCCGAGAAATTCAGTGTTCCCTAAATTGGTGAACACACGGTATACAGCGATAATCTTCGATAATTGTTGATACCTAATCGTCGATAACGGAAGGAAGTATACACTAGCTGTATCATAGTTTATTTATAATTTGTACACAATAATTATCTGAAAAATGTTAAATTCTTATATTTCGATTCAGTATCTGTTTTGTCGTCAGTTTAATAACAGTTGATACGGTTTTTAAAATGGAATTTGTTGAAAGCAAAAGAGGTAAAAAAATATTGATATTTAATGGTTTTAAATATGTTTTTGGTTATACGTCACAAACAAATGTAACTCGGTGGAGATGTTTCATGAAAAATTGTCCGGCCAAAATTTTGGAAAAAGAAAAAGTAATACTTGAAACGAAAGGTACGTTTTCTATCTACGAGTAAAATAAATATTGCTATAAATATAACTCTATTGAGACTATATTTGACCTATAGGTACTTGTATTATAATTTGAAATAGTTGAATATAATGTATTATTATTATCTACGCTTGTATTATAATTTATTAGATTTGTACATGGTTCTTAAATTGACGGAAACGTCTTTTCACAAAAATATATTTGCTGTATATTGTTGTACCTATTCGCAATTTCGCAATTATTTACAAATGTCATTGCTATTATCTACATTTTACATTACTATTTTATTTTATATATACCACAACATAAATATTGCTTAAAAATTAAGACCATTGGTTTCCAAACTTTTTTTGCGGAAATGTCTTTTGGCGGAAACGGGAATCGTACCTTTTTCGTTTTTGGCGGAAAAGAGCTATGGCGGAAACGGCCAATATTATTTTGGCGGAAACGGGTAACTCCCTTGCTATACGGCCCCTGACGGTGTGGGTTCATTATTGATGATTTAATTATTAAGTATCTTTTACCGTTCTAGATTGTGCCGTGTTAGATTGTGTATTTCTAGCTTTGTTAGTTTGCATGGTGTGGCTATCTTATCTGTGGTTCAAAGGTCACCGTATTGATGGTGCCTAGGGACGATATAAATATTATATAATAGTGTAATTAGTTGGTGTAATTATTTATGTTACTTTTTTCCAAGTTGCAGTGATTTCTGGTGATTTAGAGACTTAATATGTAACTGTAGAATTTGTTAGTACTTTTTATAGTAATTTGAGACAAACTACACAAAAAATCCGTTAAGATTTGCGAATAGTTTTTAAGCATAACTCGGTAACAACGAAATATAAGTGCGCACTGTATAACCATAGACATAAAGAAATAGACGGAACATTAGGCCCGAGGACTGGGAGGCGTGGTCGTGCCAAACGGATTAAGAGAGATAGCATGAGTTTTATCATAAGAGTGAGAGAAATGTCCTCTGCTCCGAGGACAGCCAATTGGCAATTACATAGCTTTAATAGTGCCTGATCACGAGGACAATATTGCACGCATTATCATACCTAATGTTACGTCTATTCTATAAGTCTATCTGTATAACTGTACTTTTTATGTTTTTACATTTTAAAATGTCATTATGTATACGATATCATCAGTACCGAATAGATTTATTACATAACATATCGAGTATTTTTGTAAAATGTACCTATTAATAAATATAAGATAAGACACCTACCTCGCACAACCTTCATCTACTAAATTAGACTATTATTATGACCGATAACAGCTTCACTCTGCAGATCACAACAATTTAAATTTTAGTTTATTCTAATTTGTAAGTTTGAACTGTTTTAAGTGGCATTTAAGGAATATACCTATACATTTTTTATTAATTCATCACAACCCATTCAAATAATTAATAAATACAATTTTTATTTTTATATATACATGTTAATTACCTACGGTTTAAATCCGAATCATATTAGATTATTCCAATAAAGGATTTTGCTTACCTATAACAATTTTTTGAAATCTATGATTTTCATAAAACATCGTTGAACTATTTCTAATAGTTGACTTTATTGTTTCAATGTGGTGAGGCTTAATCCATTCCAGTGGTGGTAAATCATCAGCCATCTGTGGGAATGGCACAATTATGTAATATTAAAATTCGTTAATGTATTTAATATTTAAATGTATGTCTTATACTTTTATATACATACTTGACATAACAATAGATCGTATAGTTTTATTAAATTCTTATTAGTGATCGGTTGACCGCATTTTTCAGATAAATACGAAAATAATGCTGTCATACTTTTGTCGGTATGGTTGTTTAATTGATAAGGTAACTTGCTGATCATTGAATCAAAAGCCGGACATTTTCCCCTCTCATCAAATAACTGCAGAAAATGGTATGAATGAATTGTATTTATTTATTCGTATGGCAAGTATGAATGAATTATTATAGTTTATGAAACTAAGAACCAAGTGGCTTATTATAATTACAAACAAGGCTTTGTGCACAAGTTCCTAATAATATGCTTATCGTTGCTAATAATGAAATCTATTTAGTTCAGGACCTAGACAGCTGCACTGGAGTTACACATTCGAAGGCGCAATAGAATCAATAATCTAATGGTGCATACAGCAATAAGCAATAAGCATTTGAGTGTGCAATCATAAAGGGGTGACGCACACATCTCTCCACGTACCTATGTGTACACATTTATATCTTATATCATAAAAAAAGACTTTCAATATTTATAATTGTTGAGGTTAGTCTTACCATTATTGTAATTTATAATTTAGACATTTAAATAAATTATTGGTGGCGAAGGCTGTTAAAAATTTGATAGACGACCTACAGATCCACCTAATATTATTGAACACAAAAATAGATTCTATATGCTGAGAAATAAATATGGAATCGTTACACTGTTATAGGATTTGGAGTATGTATGGAGAATATTTTTCAAACAAATATAAATGTTTGACAATTTGACATTTTTACGAGTGAAGAGGTTTTGTTGACAATATATGAACAATCGTGCAGCTGCTGTAGAATGTAAGCAACTACAACAGGTTAACACATTTTTCTTCTTATTTTTTCAAATCCAAACTTCGCGTCAGACATCAGGATGTGCACGTTTAAAAAAATGTACAATGGTCGTAGCCATAAGCCCATAACTCTCAGCCATATGCAAATAAGTAACAAGGTATAAAATATATTAGGTTATCACTTATCCGCAAAGCAAATATTTTTTTTATTTCTGTTTTTGTAATAATGTCAATTTTGGATTAAATAAATGAATTCTAGAAAAGGGATAGGCAAATAAAAAAGTAAAACGAGGCTATAATATTAGATTTGAGTATTTGACTTATAGATTTTATAATAAAAATATAAGTAATTCACATTTAATCCTTAAAAATGGAACTCGTTCACTAGATCGTTAATTTACTTTTTTTATTTTCTTATTAAAGGAATTATAATAAGAAAATATTACTATATAATATAATCAATATATTTTAAGCAAATATTCATTAAATGGAAATTTAATTGAGCGTCTACAAAATTGTTCAATTTCATTAAAATTTACACGTCGTTCAAGGTTCACATTCACGTTTACGTTCAATTTGAAAAAAACGGAATGACGTTCGCGTATTTCATGCTTTTTATATGAACGTGTGCACGTGCGTCCATGAACGACGTTCTTTCCACACACTGCGTGGCATAATACTATACATACTTTAAAGTGGAAAATATATTCAATTAGTATTGAGGTATAGTAGATACATACTGTTCCGTGATCTGGTGAATCGCTGTAAATAGGAATAGGCTGCCACACGGTTTCTGAGTCCGACCATTTTTGATAATTTTTTGGCGGATACATTCCAGCTAAAACCATTGCTGCTGACATAAACGTCCGTCTTGTGTTTGTAGTTCTGACTAAAATCTCGCTATCCAAGTATAAATCACTTACGAAACCATTGTATAAGCTTCGAAATATTTGTCCTTTCTTGTACATATTTTGCTTACCTTTCTGTTGATCAACACTGATTTAGAAAAGAGTACCATACACATAGATTTTTAATCTATATTATATATATTTTATATAAGCGTGTTTGGTTCTCTTAAGATTGTGGTCGAAAAGAGTAGGTACTTGATGCATTGGTTTTTCATTTTTTTTTAAAATTGTTTGTAGTAGAAAGAGTGCTTCAAATTATTTATTTTACCTTGTTAATTTATAGTGTAACTTATTACTTTTAATAAATATGGTTTTTTTGATTCTTTCATAAATTCAAAACAATGGAAACATTGGAATCAAAATATAAATTACAAAATAACCTGTATGGCATTGTACCAGATTTTAATGAAATACATTTTGATTATTTTATGGACAGTTGAGTCCATAGTATAGTCTTCTGTAAACCCCTAGCTTTACCAATAGTTATAAATATTTACTTATACGATATGAATATAATAAATCGCAGTCGTTCATTTCAATCAATTTAAATAAAAATCTATACAGTTATAAAAATACATACTTTATTCTTGTTTTTTAGCATGCTAAGATTATATTTTATAGACCTTAGACGCATAACAAAAACGTAAAAAAAATGTTTTAAAACTATTACTCAATCGTAAATTGTTGTTGATAAAAAAAAGTGTATTTTAGTTTCTATTAATACTTGTAAACATTTTTATAACATTGCAATTATTAATTTATACGTACCTTAGTTAATTCCATTCTTCCTTCAGGAAAATAATTCTTGTGTGTGTCAGTGCTGCATTTGAACGATGGCGCTCTATTCCCATGGCGGAACAGCTGTAAATATTCATATTTTTGATTCGTCTATAATATCTATATGTTGGACTACAACTAATTATAATTTTTATAAGATCTATTTTAATTAGTGTGGGTGAAATAAGTATTGGACTCAATTTTTTAAGATTAATACTTTTGCTTCCACCATTTTTCCATAAAATATAAATACATACTACGGCGACGAATTTGAGTGAAGGATCTGAAAATCGTCCTGGTACAATGATGTCGTTACTTTGTTGTTCCCATCGTTTAATGGACACATACAAGATACTGCCGATGACAATGACAGTTAAAGATACACCAACGATCAAAGCAGCCTTTTTGAAATCTAGTGCCATCCCGTGAACGTACGAAAAGTTACGTTAACTGTTAACAACATACGACGTGTTCGTGGCCGATTTGCGTATAGAAGTGGCTCTTGTTTATTATTTTTACAAAAACTTGAATCTCCAATTACGTAATTTATTAAAATAAGTGATAACCGTTGCGAAAATTTGTTAAAATTGTATAAGAAAGTAGGAATTACACTTTCATAATTTACACATCGATATTTATATAGGTATACAATAAATATGTTGTCATTGTGTTACTATTATATCTAGTAAACTGGACCGGAATAAACTTTTCATTGTGTAACGCCACGCAGGTGATGAAGGTTATCCACTGTTTGCCTAAATACAGATAACATAATAGCTAACTTTAACTAAACAAGTAATTTATGTTAATGATTAATGATACTGTTAATGTGTTAACTTTATCTTATAGATTCTCATCAATATCGCGTTTTTATTTATCGGGATTCAAAATTAACACGAAAACTGAAATTGTTAGATATAGGTATATTAACAGAAAATATTTGATTTAAAATTAAATATTATAAAATCAACCCCAAATTTTTAAACCACTTCATTTCCTATACATGTAAAGTTTGCATTTACTTCTCTACCATCGTATTCAAATACGATTTAATTATTACTTATTTCTAACAACTTATTTTTATATTTATTCACCAGAGAAAATTACATTATGCAACTAGATCCAAAATACTACTAGAAACCTCAATTGAAGTTCATGATGAGGGCATTTCTTTTATCATAAAAAGTGTCTTCAAATTTGTTATTGTAAATCTTTCCACTCAGAGTTTAAAATACAAAATGAATATTTTACAAATATTAAAAATTAACGCTGTTTGAACGTTCAATTTTTGTCAATCTCATTAAAAATGTACAAATTGTGTTCAAGTTCACGTCTATTTGATAAAAATGCGTAACATTTATGTTCATCAATACGAAAAACAATGAACTAATGCTTTGCGAAAACTTGTGTACTGGACCTCTGGGCTCAATAATTGTGTGCGTATGATTTGGATTGCCTTATTTTTACTTTCTTATTTCTTACCTAAACGGTCAACTTATATCATATTTATACAGAGGTTTTATTTAAATGATTTAAACGGGCAGAAAATAAATTTTTTTTAGACCTTACAGCATTATAATTGATCCCCTCATTTCCCTCCTCATCACAGTTCTGCACAAAAGTTATAGGTATGCCATAATATTAATATTGCCATCTCTTTATGTTTAATTAATATGATAGTAGTATATATGAATCTCAATAGATTATATTATTAATTTTTCGGTACCTACATTTTAATTGTGATATAATATTGATTATTTTTAAATGATTTCATTATAATTTACAAGTTATAACTATGCTTAAGACTTTAAGTAAGTATTATTAATTATTATGTAGGTATTTTCAAATGTATATGTAAGTATATGCTATACGCTTGAAGTGTCGAGCTATAATAATTAGGTACTTGTTAATAGCTAATAAAAACATAAACAAATAAACCATAAAACAATACTAAAACGTTCAAAACTAAGATATATTATATTAATAAAAAATACAATTTTGTTCTTTTTGACTATTGTTGGATCCCTAAATCGATAATTCATTAAAATTTTTGTAGTTATAGAATCAAAATATATTATTTATAAAATATAATATTATTTATATACAGGGTGCTTTACCAAGCATGCTGACCCCCATTGTTTCCTTTAATAATGAATTTATTCAAATTCTGATTTTTAGAATTTTTAAATATACTTTAAGACCATATTTTTAAATTCTTTAATTTAGCAGAATAACTGCATTATTTAAGAAGAAAAAAGGGGGCAAGCAAAGCTATTTAACAGGCAAAAGAATAAACAAACATAAGAAATTATTACATAGGTAGTTCTATATTTGTTGACACTCATCTTCCCATCTTCCAGATAAATTATCGGTCAACAGTTTTTTGAAGTCCTCAAATTTGCAGGGATTACCACAAATAAGTATTGAGATTTCTTCTCCATTTTCATTGTCCCATCGATCAAAATAAAATACCTAAACATTTATAATTATTTCAGTTAGATGTTACTAAAATTGTGTACCAAATCTAATTTCTTGTAAGTTAAAATGGGATCATGAATAGTATTAGAAGACTTGATAAAAAAATGTATAATAAAATAATAATTAACTAACATCATGATATGTGATAGTACGTATTATATTATATTATTATTTTAATTTACTTTGACATTTTGTACATCATGGTTGAACTTACGTGTTCGAAATATTTCGTATTAGTGATTTCTGATCAATGTAATTTTTAATTAACCAAAATACATTTTGTGTTATTTTACTGATCATTAACGTGTAAGCAATTGGGAATTAAATTACTTCTCTTAGTTAAAGTTATATATTTTCACGATATAGATATGGAATTTAAGTTGACATAATTATAGAATTTAAGACTTTTTTTTATACTTCAACCATTATTGATAGCCATTTATGATAAAATAAATTTAATGATTTAAAAAGCTTATCAATTCTAATTTTAAAATGTTGTGAGATCAACTGGTATAATCTAGATATTTAACAAAAACAAAACATTTTGAGAAAATATGTTTTTTTTAAAAATATATATAGCTAATTGATTCTTGGGTTCAGTTATTTATACCTTAACTATGTATTCATTTGTTACGTCGTGGTACAAATGGAAATGCAACGAGCCACCAAAATCAGGCAATTCAATAGCATGGCCAAGAAAGCTCATTGCCATTCCTATACTAATATCGTGTCCCGAATAAAGATGCATTTTTCTTGTTGTATTATAATTATTTGAACTCGATTCCATGTTCATACCAATTTCATTTAGCAGAGGTCCTTCAACATAAATTAAACAAATTTACAAGTTTCAAAATTAATATTTTGAACCTAAAATGCATTATGTCAATACGTGGTTCATGAGTTTAGCTAGGATCTACCTAGGAATTCAGTATTGCATGACGTATGGTTAGGTTAGTGTAGTTGTACATAAAGCACAAATAGAGCTAAAATACTTTGAAAATATATTATGATACACCAAATATAAATGTCTATATTTATAGAGCGTACAAATTGTTATACAGATAATTTTTAAACTCTGAGCGTACATAGCGATATGTGTTGTATTTACAATGATGTGTGTTTTTTTGCCTGTAATCAACATTTGTGGTAAAAAATTAAAAAATCGATTTTATTTTTTTGGAGTAACCCAATGACTAATAAGCAATAACCATAGACAAATATTTATATTAGCATTTTCCGGCATTTTTTAAGTACTTTCACTCTTTTTTGAGATTTTTATTGCCTTGAGAAATTTTTTGAATTTTTTTAGAATTGTTATCGATAAAATGCGAAGATAAGTTGTAATAATAGCAGTACAAAAATATTAAAGGTACATAGACACGATTGTTTTATTATATGCGTTTAAAGTTAAGAAGACTCATCAAAGTCCCAAAAATGTATAAACTATCTTTCAGTTAGAAATTCATACAAGTTTTTCTTTTTATGGTTAACATAAGAAATTTTAATAGAAGATCCCCAAGCTTTTCTACCTTTAATAAAAAAAAAGTTTATCGTAAAGTTAAGCTATTTATAGCCATTTAAATTAAATTTGAATATTTATACAAGTATGCTAGGATGATACGGCATCTCCTCTCAGGATCGTCTTTCGTATGCAATGATTCATCATGAAATTAAAACATAACTCATCCATTTCAATGAATGACAACTACTGTACAGCAGAGTGGTACCCACTTCTCCACCATTTTTTAAAATGTTGACGTATTTAAATCGAAATTTTAATGGTTAGTTTTTGAGTTATTTAATTTTGTGTCAGACGGCGATACTAAGAATAAACTCTAAATTATAGCCTATAAATAATGGGTTTGGATGTTAGGGTGAATTTTGTTATAAATTAAAATCCATCAACATTTAATCATTTTCAAAAATTTTCTAAGTATAATATAACAAAAAATATACGTTATTCAATATTAAATCAATTTTATAATTTATGAAACCATTTTTAAGGACTATATATTTCTTTATTTACAACCTCCAAACCGGAATACTTTAAATAAAATAATTTGCTTACCTACAAGCAATTTTATTATACTCATATTTTCCAAAAGAATTTTTGAAATGTTTGAATACATTGATTTCATTGTTGCAAAGTGATAAGGATTTATCCAATCCGGTACTGGTAAGCCTTCAGCTATCTTTAAGAATATTAAAATATCATAATTATAGTAAATTAATAATATGTACCAATATCTTAATTTATAAATAAATGTATATTATTTTTAACTTACCCTACACAAAAAAAGGTCGTATAGCTGTAAAACATCTCTGCCGGTGATAGATTGTCCGTATTTTTCAGATAAAAACGATATCAATGCTGTTATATTTTTGTCTGCAGAATAATTTAGTATTTGAGTGAGACTTTCGGTGAATGAATCAATAGACGGACATATTCCCATACTACCGATTAACTGTGTAAAGTAGCATAAAGTATATTATAGTGATTAGTAATTAGGTAGGTTTTCGAACTATAAACAGGCTCTCATAAAAAGTAGTTTGAATTAAGTATAAAGCAATTTAAAATTCAACAAGAGTCCATAGTCCACTTGTATGACAATTATAAACGACTATTTACATTTTTTTTTAACAAACCTTATAAATGTGATATTATTCATACAAGCCTTAAACTGTATAACCGAATATTACATTGTAGGCATATTTCTTATAAATGCAATAGTTACAGTACCTACGTATATGCATGATCTAATATAGATCGGTACCTATCTAAAATTTCTGACTGTAATCAGATGTCAATCATGATTGTTGTTGGTTATATTATTCAGTGACCTTAGAAGTGTATAGAACTTACCGTGTTCTATTTACTGTTAATTGTTTTTAAACATTCAACATTACATTTTTATTTTTAGTGTTTTAGCTTACACTATATAGATTATCATAAATCGAAATGATTGTATAAGATATTACATCTTACATGATAGTATTATATGTATTTTTAATTGTTAAATATAGAATATAACTTTGCATAATTTTGTAATCAAAAGAAGCTTTACCCAACATTTGTAGGTACCCTGGCGGGGTACACCCTACGGCAAGGGTCACCAATTAATACTTTCCGTGGGCCACATTAAAAATTCTGAAAATTCTCGGGGGCCATAAAAATGCAAAGTACATAATATTGATTACAATATGCCGATTGGCCGAAACTAATACACAAAGATATGAAGTTATCGGCTTCTTTTCTCCTTGTCTGCGGGTCGGTTAAAATTCATCCACGGGCCGCCATTTGGTGATCTCTGCCCTACCGTCACATCAACTGTTATCTTTAAAGTGTTAACCATGTTCAATAAGTATTTAGTAGATACTAGATACATACTTGCCCTCGATCTGGTGAATTACTGTAAATAGGAATAGGTTGCCACACAGTTTCTGAGTTCGACCATTTCTGATAATTTTTTGGCGGATACATTCCTGTTAAAACCATTGCCGCTGACATGAACGTCCGACTTGTGTTGGTAGTTTTTACTAAAATCTCGCTATCCAAATATAAGTCACTTACGAAACCATTGTATAAGCTTCGAAATATTTGTCCTTTTTTGTACATATTTTGCTTTCCTTTCTGTTAATTAACATCAGAAAAATATTAGAAAATAATACAATAAACATACCTTTTTAATTTATGTAAGTATATTATTTGTATTATTTGGTTCACTTAAGATTTTGATCGAAGAGAGCAGAAACGTATAGGTTATAGGTACATAAAAAAAATAGGTTAATTGGGTAATGCTTTACAGTACCTAATGTGTCTAGAAAGTCACTTTAATGGATGTGTTAAATTTAAATTTAATAATCATTGTATACGAAAAACGATTTTGAGCGAAGACGGTCTGTCAGCCTATAATATTACTAAGTTTATTTTATGTAATTATTATTGTCTAGTACAGGGGGCGGGGTACGAGTTTGGAGCTAAAAAGTCTTGATTTGGTGGAGTTTATTGTTGGATTCCTTGACCCATATTAAGTAGTTGGTGTGTTTTTTTGTTCCTTTCCAAGGCGCATCTGATTGCGTTTTTAAGAGTATTTTTTATGTTATTATTGTGATTAAAGTAATTTATTTTACTATACATGGGCATTTACTATAAAAGGTAAATTCGTTTTTTCCGAAAAAATTGAATTTGAAAATGTCACTGTGTTTATAAAATATTATAGTATACTCTAAAAGTCTCAAGTATACCCACGAATAATATTTGTAAACTACCTACAACAAAATAACTAAAATCGTAGTTATTTTTGGTTTAAATATGTAATTTCGTTCAAATTGAACTTATAATAGGGAACTATAAAAAGAGATACATATATTTTAGATTTTTTAGATACAGAATTAACTACTTACTTGAAACCTTGTTTTAAATTTTCAATCCTTAGCTATAAAAGGTGAACATTTTATAAATGTTTAACTACCTACGAAATAGTTTGTACATTTTGAATTTAGTACATTTGTCAAAATTCGAATTTTAAATAAATATAGACAAAAATCATACCTATGTATTTTTAATATTTTTAAACTATTATTGTAATCAGTGGCGGTGCGAACTTTTTGAGTCTTTAAAGCAAATTGTACATTTTTAATATTTTTACCACCAATCATCCTCTTTATTACATCAAAATGATAATTTACTATGTTGAAGCTATGAAGCTATGAAGCAATTGCTTCAAATAGTATTGTATCCTGCCGCCACTGATTGTAACAATATATCAGAAGCTTCGTTTTAAATATATGCTTTTTGACATAACAAACAGAATCGTATTGACATAAAAAAAACTACTACTACAATTTAACTAAAAAAGTTTAAAATTGAAAATGTCCGTAAATAGCTCAAAACGAGTCATAATATTTTGAAAATTTTATCAAGTATTGTAAATTTCATGTATATACAGTTGTCCGTTCTTGAATTACAACAACACAAGAAAAGCGTACCATGAGAAATTGAGTGAATATCCAATGTTGTAGAAATTCTTCAAATGCTCATAAAAGTTTAACTTGATTTTCCAGAAGACATTTTTTGATTAAGTTAATCAAACTTATGAGTAATTTTGTATTAGATTTTCAAATCTTAGATACAAAAATTAAATTTTTATGAATTTTTAACTAAAAATAATTTGAAAATTTCATGATTGTTTTAATTTTAATTTCAAGGGCTCATAAAAATTATTTTGGATTTACGGTCAACTTTTTTTAAAATTTAAATTTACAGCAACTTTTGAGGAACCTTCTACTACATTTTTAAATTTTTCTTATCCACATTAATTAAAAATAAACTAATGATGCAAATCAAAAATTTCATACTTCTATAAATGAGTCAACGAGAGTCAAAGTATTTTGAACATTTGATGGTGCATAGGAAAAGCTAAAATAAACATTCAGTGAAAATGGCATGTATCTATGGTAATTTATTTAAGAGTAACACCAGTAACACCACAAACCAAAATCAACTTTGCTTAAAAATTCCCGTTTTCCTTAATTCTTTTTTTGGTTTGCCAGATGCTTATGGAAACTTCTAAGAATTTTATATGTTGACTTCCCGAATGCATCAACTAGATTCACTTTTCCCCCAAAAAAAATATTTAAGAAGAAAATCGAGGCATTATTTCGACTACAAAAAAAAAATACTTATTGTGTACACAAATACTAAAAATTTAAAAATAAACACATATCGTTGTAAAATCAATACAATATATATCTCTCCTCTCTGCTCAGAATCTACAAAACACACATCATGGTAAATAACTCTATGTCTGAAAACCCCTAGATTCACCAATAATTATATTTAATTTTAGCTATTTATATGAATTTAAAATAAAATCAGTACCTAAAATCAATCCAGTCTTCAATTCGCTCAAAATCTAAATTGTAATGTTTTGTTGACAATATAATTATTAATTAGGAATTATAATATAAGAGAGATTTTTTAGTTTCTTTTAATGCTAGTATACATTTTTATAATGTTATAATGATTAATTTATACCTACAATACCTACTTTAGTTAATTGCATTATTCCTTCAGGAAAATCGTTCTTGTGTGACTCAGTCTTGTATTTGAACATTGGTGCTCTATTTCCATGACGGAACAGCTGTAAACGTTATATTATATTAGAAAAGCATGTACATTTTAAATAGTTTTTTTTTAATGTGTGACGTTTACTACTTTATGTAACTTTTTTTCGTCTATTAGGCATCACCATTCACCATAATTATTAAAATAAATACCATATGTGTGTCATGTTATTTTAAAAAGTAAGTGACTACTTGTGTTACAATAAACACTTTAAAAGTTTAAAACCCATATTTACCTCTGTTTTTGTTTGATTAATCTAAACGTAATCATACTATTTTAATTTTAATTTCATACAATAAATACTGGACCCTACTGAGAGAACTATTGGGGAGCAAGAGTTCTTACACTATTATTATAAATTAAAATACATACTACATACATTCTTCTTATGGAGATAAATGATAATTGCCTACTAAGATAGTAAGATATGACAGATATACAATAATTTAAATAATAAGCGAATGAAAAAAAAAATAATAATTTTTGGATAACTTAAAGTAGGTAGGTAATAGAAATAGCGCAATTGAAATATTGAAATAAAGAAATATAATCACAAATATATATTAATAAAGTTAAACAATCTATCACTTATTCTGCCAAACACAAACACGTGTGTTCCCCTCTACCGTACCAAAAAACCTACAATACAAACCTACAATACCTACTACAGCTAATGGCCACAGTTTCCGGGCTTAAGATCAATAAAAAAAAAAAATCTATCACTTCTACATTTTAGAATTTAAGTCTAATAAACAAAGAGGATTCATTATATCAGAAGTATTTTATAAACAAGCACTTAGCTCGACGTTTAGCTTTTGACGAAATTAGATGTAAATATCTTTTATTTATTTTTAATTAAACAGTACAATATATTTTAAATACAATATGAAAAAAAAACATTAATAAAGTTATGTAAGAACTGAGAAGCAGACTTACCAAGTTTGGGAACCCTCAAATTGGATATGAAAAATAAAGGTTTTTCTATGTTAGATAGGTATAGTTCTAATTCTAAAAATGTTAAATATTAATCTAGAGACTTGGTATTGTTTTCGCCAATACGAATATTATAACTTATAAATAAGTTCATATATTATTATTTTCTTTAGATAGGTGAGCCAATAATTTTTTCAAATATTTTTACTAGGTAATTTTAACATCAATTTATACCATGAATCTATTATCACAATTATATACTGGCTATGGATTACCTATATTATGTAGCTGAAGTGATATTTAATACTTATATATATATTAAGTTCTATATCTTACTTATATTATTATCATTTATGATAGTATAAAACTATCAATCATAATAATATGATGATAATATAATGTTATTAATTATTATGCATAATATTTTTAAAATAAATTATAAAATATCCCTAATACCTAAAGGTTGCTGTAATAAAGTTTTCACTAAAAACCGTGGTTTGTGCTTATGCAAAGATTTATAACTGAATTAAAATTGAATACTTTAAATGAGGTATGTATTTAAACTAGCCAAAACCAATCGTATACCATATGGCAGATCGGTATTCCGATTTGTATGTATTACTCTTTTTTTTATTATTTTGCTCCTATACAATCAACAATTTATTTTTGACAACAATTTTATATTTTATTTATTTAATGCAATTTGTTTAGTATATTTAAGTATAATTTGTATAGAATCTATATTAAATAGTTGGATGACGAACTCTTTGTAAAATTTTTAAGTTTTTAAATACTTTTGCTTTTGAAGTAACATTTCCACAATTTTTCTATAAAATATAAATACATACTATGGTGACAAATTTAAGTGAAGGATCTGAAAATCGTCCTGGTTTAACGACGTCGTTACTTTGTTGTTCCCATCGTACTGTGAACACGTACAGGACACTGCAGATGACAATCACAGTTAAGGACAAACCAACGACTAAAGCAGCCTTTTTGAAATCTAGTGCCATTCCGTGAAAGAATGAATAGCTGACAACATACGACCCTCTAGCCTAATTCGCTTAAACGTTGTTCTTGTTTATTATTTTTAGTAAAACCCACAAGCACGTACAAGGAAAAACTAAAAAGCATATTCATCTTCGAAAAAAGGTAAGTTTATGTACATCAAATCAATATATATATATATTGTATTATTGTAACTGCACCATCACTATAGTCTAGTGTCTTTCTATATAATAACTTCTCTAACTAACTTTTCATTGTGCATAACACCGTGGTGTTGGAGGTTATCCATTGTATCTAAATACTGATAACATAATAGTTTGAGACTGGGTTATTTTTTTTGATTAAACCTATTCCATTATAAATACATTAATTAGGTCTTAGGGGTCCACCAATCATGGTTTGCGTAATGTACTACTTAGTTATTTTAAGTATTTGACCTATTTAATGGGATGCTAAATAAACATGTATGCTGATCTGGGTACCTACATGGCTACATTGAAATCAAATGATCAATATAAACTAAGTCGAATGAACTTTGCTCACACCAGTCAAAGTTTTAATATTTTTTTCATAAATTACAATTCAGTTCCGGTGTTCAGTTATTGTACTCAGGAACGAATCGTTATGTTATTGCTTAATTCTTATTATATAGACACTTATTTGTTACGTCAAACTAATTATAGATAGGTAATAACTTATAACTTATGACCTAATTCAAGAATAAATTATAATATTATAACTTACAACGGCGACGAATTTGAGGGAAGGATCCGCAATCTGTCCGCTGCCAATGACGGTGTTTCTGTGTTGTTCGTCCCATCGTTCGGACACGTACAGGATACCGAAAAACACGGTCAAGGATGAGAAAACTATTAAGGACGTCGTTTTGTAGTCGAATGCTACCATCCTGAGCTAGAATTCAAAGATTTAACTGCAAAGGTTAGATTAAACGACATTCGCGTTTATCAATGCCCAGTGCCCACCTATCTTTTATATTATTTCTATCCACCTGTCAGTGACACAGGCTGTCACATATATATATTTTAAATCTTACATTACACTTACAAATGATGAACATTTAATAGAAATAAATAATATGAACATAAAATTAGTTATTTTAAATTTAAATGTTGAGTAAGTATACGTAAGTATAAGTGACCGAAAAAATTCATTGATAAATCATTGTTTATGATGAAAATTAAATCTGAGCGGAGGCGGTCGGTCACCATTTATTTCTAAAAATATTTTATCATATATTAATTATATTGAATTAATTTTTGATGATAAAAAATCACATACCTATATTATATTATTATTATCATAATATTATGTCATTTAATATATTACTAATCGATAGTATAACTAATAAATTGCAAGTTGATAAAATAGTACCGTAAATTATAGTGTGAAATTCGTGCTGGAGTGGACTGACTCAGATTACCACCTTTTCTATTTAACTCTTGTTGTAATTTAGAATTCTCTCAAAATTGTAATAAGTTTGTACACTCTGTACTGAAAATAGCCAGTTCGCCATCGGATTCGTGGTATAAATAACTTAAAATGAATACAAGTATCTTGCGAATTTTAGATAGACCACAATACAGCGTTCTTATTATGTGTTCAAGTAAAAAAAAAAACATACGAAAATCATTTTAAAATCAATATATTATATTATTATCCGCTCAGAATCTAAAATATAAAATGTTGGTAGGAACTAGGAATATTATAAAAATGTATAGCTAGCCGTCTTGGATCAGTAATATATAAGATAAATCTATTATTTCATAATAAAAAGTGTGCTTTACTCACATAACCAATAGGGATAAGATGCTAACACCGAAAAATCCAAATAATAATTTATAAATTACAATATAGGTACACAAAAACAAAACAGATAATCATATAATCTTAATAAAATGCAAGATATAATAAGATACGTAGCTTCCATGAGAGCTATACTTCAGTACAAATATAATATTCAGCGTTAGAAGTTAGGTTAGATAATGTTATTATAACATTGAATACTGTCTAGAATAATGATTTTAACAATCCGTACTGACTATACTATGTTACGTAAAGACAAATAAATTTAAAAATTGACAGTCAAAATTATTAATAAACTATAAAAAAAATCCTTGACTAATGACGTATGATGACTAAGTTTTTTTATTATAATATACTTGTTTTCTATCACAAGGACTGTAAATTAAATAATTTATACTCGTACTAATATACTATATAGATACTTAAAAGTTAAAACGTATACATATTTAATCAACATAAAGATACTCGAAACATTGCGTATTGAACTATTTAGTATTTGTTCATATCAATATTTTAAAGTATGTGTATAAATGTACGAATAGTAAGTTAATAGTTAGTTAATTTATTGATTTTCAATAAATTATACGATTTATACGTGCTTGAGATGTATTGATTTAAAATTTAAATGGTTCTATACAATCATATACCTTATCTATTTTATGCATATTATTATTATAGGCGATGTGTTGTAACTACTAACTTGTAATGTTTAACACTTAAACAGTTGAGTAATACGTATAATCTCGAAAAGTTTAAAAAAAAAGTTTACACAGGTAATTTGAAGTCTTTAAAAATCTAAATTTTTGAAAAATAATGATATTTTATTATGTTTTTACTTTTATGATGACAACATATTTCTAATTTCATACTCAATTCCCCCCCCCCTCTGTGCCCTGTGCACTGTATTGCGAAAAAAAAATTATACTGTGAAAACTTAAGAGGACGTAATACCCGTCACCGTCTTAGTGTCTTACTACCGCGCTAGTCCGCGCAACATACCAAAACTTGTTTTTGAGAGAAACAACTTTATCCCCCTCTGTATTCATAGAAGAATTACCAAAATTACACAACTCATATGGATGAAATTTACATGTAACGTAGAGTTTTTATTATTTAGATATCGCTAACCAGTAATCTAATAACTAAATGAAAAATATCTAATGTTCGCAAACTAATAACTTTAATTGTATTTATGTTATCCAAAAGGGCAATCAGGTTTTGCTATGTCACGCTTTAGTAAGACGGAGACATCACAAACGGGTATAACACAACAACATCCTCCACAATATTTTAATATATTAAATTGTGCGTAATATTCTTATTTATTAGGCAGTTCTTATTTTCACGTGAAAGTATTTGTTTTCACGTCCTGTCCTGTGATTGGTCGTAATATCGATAAGGTATTATATTTATAAGAAATATTTTTATTTATAGTTATGTCCCATTGTTAAAATCGAGGTTTTAACAATTTTTTTTAAAATTTTTTTTCTTTTTTTTTAAGATAAATACAATCTGCCCCTATAGGGACAATACGAATATGTGATATTAGAAAGTATTTACATGAAAACGTGATGGGAGAAGTCACCCAGTGGTTACTACCCTTACTTGATAATTTTTTTTTTATATATATAAAGCTACTTTAATTACTCATTGAGAAGATCTCTACACCATTTCCTGCTGAGCCTCCTGGGAGGGTTCCCAGGAATTGTGAAGGTGGCAAGGTTTGAAATGAGGGGGTTGGTATGAGAAGGGAGTTTTGAGTGGAAAAGTTTGTAAAAGGTTACTGCTTCTTCGTGGACTGTTTTAATTTTTAGATCGGTGTGTAAGGTTAGATTTGAAATATAAGGAGGAGAATTTGTGATTTTACGAAGGATGTTATTTTTGAATGTTTGAATTTTATTAGTGTTGGATTTTTTGGCATTGCCCCAGAGTTGAAGACCATAGGTCCACATAGGCTTAAACAAGGATTTATAAATTAAGAGTTTAGTATTTAATGGAGTGTGTTTGTTTTTCGTAATTAGAGTTTTGAGGATGCGGAGACGCGCATTTAAGACAAGCCTTTTAATTTTAATACGATGTGACCACGTGAGTCGACGGTAAATTGTCAAACCTAAGTATTTAGTCGATTGAGAGGAAGGGATTTGAATATTGTCTAGAGATATCATAGGAAAAGGAGGAAGGCGAAGAGTGAAGGTAGTATGAAGCGATTTGGATCCTTGATACGCCTTTTTTATACCAATCAGCCATGAGGTCGAGGTGGAGTTGAAGATTGAGGGAAGCTATGTGAGGATTATCATGGATAGAAATAATAGCCTTGTCATCAGCAAATTCTGCCACGGTTGTGAGCGGAGAGGTGGGTTGATCGGCAGCGTAGAGATTGAATAAGGAAGGAGAAAGGATGCCCCCCTGTGGAACACCTGCATTAATCTTTGCTAAGCCAGAAAAGGATGTGCCGACTCTGACCTGAAAGTAACGATCTGTGAGGTAGGATTTGATTAATAAGTAATAAGTTGGATGGAAAATTGGCTTTATTTTATACAGCAGTCCCTCATGCCATACCTTATCGAATGCTTTGGATATGTCCAAGAAGAAGCAGGAACAATAACTTTTTTTTTCAAGGGAGAATGAGATATTACCGACTAGTCTGTGCAGTTGATGTATTGATGAATGAGAGCAACGAAAACCAAATTGAGTATTTGGTAATATGGCACTTTCAGAAATGTATCAGTGTATGGAAGAATTCTTTTAAAAATTAATCTTTTTAAAAATTTTGCTGAAGAAGGGGAGGAATCGGTCGGTAGGAGGAGGATGTTTAAACAATTTAAAATTAATAATAAAAAAATAAGATATTGCCTTAACTAAAACTACATTCAAAAGCAGTTTCAATATCTTCTTCGTGTATAGTTTTATTTTCATATACAGTAGATTTAGCAATAGTGTCATGTACAAAGCAACATAATATTTCATATTGCCTTGCCGTATATCTGCTGGAAGTTTTTCGAAAGGAAGTAAGTTTGTTAGGAACTCTTAGTGAATTAATAACTTTTAGGAACTCTTAGTGGTAGAGATGGTAGAGTATCTTCTAAATAATTTTGTTAGTAAATAACTGGTTAAATATTTTGTTTTCGTTCTATGAAATAAAAAAATCAATAATTCAAAATTACGCGGGTAATATCTTGTCAATATTACGACCAATCACAGGGCAGGATGTGAAAACGGATACTTTCACTTCGGACGCGAAAACTACGTATTTATTACCTATTAATATTGTTCTATGTTAATACTTAACGATATTGTTGTAAACCGTGCTGGTTCATGGTTGGCAGTTTGTGGAATCAGATTATCTGAAAATTAAATTAAAAACAAAAATTGTATATGGCACTACTATCTAGCG